CCAACAAGGCCATGATCATCATATTGCATAAAGTAACGCTGACAAGGCCACATCAATTGCAAGTAAAGCACATAACACCGCCACCATAAGTGGACCATACCAATCCCAATAGAATTAAAGTATAAATAACATCAAAATAAAGGAAATAGGTCATAATACCCCCACATCATCCTCAACACTTCAATCCAAAGTCAATTTTACTCAACTCGATAACACAAGGCACTTACCCAAGGCCATAACCAACAATTCAACATAAAAACTACAATAATCAATGAACTAAGGTCAAATCAATATAAATTCATCAATCTAATACAACCTAGATAACAATTTACTACAATTATTTCATTAATGAATATCCCACATAAAACTACATAAAAAATCATCAACATTAGATCAATATCAAGTAACCCAAAACTTAGTCAAAAACTAAGGTTCACCCAAATTCATGGGTTCATAGGTAATTTAGGTTATAATAATCAATAAAACATCAATTAAATAATTATTTAATGTTTAGAAATCATTGATGCAAGAACCCATGTAGAATCATGAAATTGGACAATTTAACTTTGAAAACTTGAGAAAACATCTTAAGAGTTGGGCTCCTTGATGAAACAAGTTTCAAGGATCTAAAGCCATACCTCAAGGATGAGAATTCTTAACTTTGATGAAGAATTTCCACTCAAAATATCACACCAAAATCTTCCTTGATTTTGGACTTCAATTGAGTCTTTGAGAGTTCTTAAGGGATTTTGGGGTTTTGATTTGGAAGAATGAAATATTCTAAGTGTTAAACACTTATATACATGTTTAAAATACCCAAAAGATCCTTAATAAACTGCCAATACTCTTAATATTTGGACGTGGGATGAAATTAGAATATCATCCCTAACTTAACAGTGAGACAGCACGCAAGAACAGGCTCACAGACGACTGACCCATCATGGGGCGTCAGTCCTCTCACGGACCGTGTTGTCCACCATCGATTGGGTCAGAGCCTGGAAAATGGAAGCTTGGATTCCTTGGCTAAGATTCCAACTACTCCCACCACCTATGGGGCGTCGATCAGGCCAATGGCCGTCGATTTCCATCCGTAGGTAGACTGCCTTTTGGCAGTTTTGGCCACCAACATGGGTCCTTCCTCAAGGACCCTTGGTTGGTCCTTGGGGATGTTTGTCCAAAATTTTCCACCCAAACATGATTGTATATGAGTTTAACACCTCTCACATGAATTTCACCCAAAACGAACACATAAAACTCGACAAAACATGCCTAGACACACAAGGTCATTTCAAGGCACATCATTCGAATGTCATGGACGTTCTTGGATGTTTGACCTCCAAAATCCACAAAACTCGACACACTTCGTATACATAGTATAATAACTCATTTAAGTACCTTATAACCTCATGAATCACATATAAACACATAGAACCACATATGAGGCACCTAGGTGACTTAGTTGTCGAACCTCTTGGTCGTCCCTTGACGTTTGACTTCCAATGCACCTAATACTTTAGACACTGCCTCAATACCATATAATAAACCTATTTATGACCTTAGACCATCAATACCAACATGTTAGGCTCTAGTTAACCTAAGTCATTTTCGGGGTCTTACAACCTCATATCATCTTAGCAAACAGAAATAACTGAAGATAGATCCTCCGAAAAAAAGAGGCTCACCAAATAACTCTAAAACTCTACTTGATCAATGAAGAACTGGTTGATGACTCTGGTTACCTATATCTGCATCATGAAAGATGCAGATCAAATGGTGTTAGTACTTGAAACTTATGAGCAAGGGAAAATCTAAACAAGACATAAGCTTGAACTGAAACATGAAATCGTTATTATGGATTTCTGTTTTTCTCCTTTTCTGAGTCTTTCTTTGTAGTTGAAACCCTAAATCGTTTCACCGTGGGCTATTTCTTTCGTTATTTTGTTGCGAATCTATAACATTTCCTATAATTTTTGCATTGATCCTTGGATTTTTTTAATTAATGTGATCAAATATTGTGTTTTTTCTTAATATTTTTTGCTAAATTTTGGAATAAGTTACTAGCTATTTATCTTCTATTGATGAAATTTGATCTGGATGTCTTTCTATTTGTTTTTTGTGATTTGCAAGCATCAAATCTTAAAGTTGATAAATGCTTATGTAGGATGTCGTTATGTGTGTTGAGTAACTTGTTGATCTTTTCTTTATCATCCTGAGATAACAGGATGATAAAAGAAAATTGATCATCCATCCACTCATCAATATGGATTATATATTAGGATAATAGTTTTTTTCTCAATATATCTACATTTTTATCCATTATTCTTGTTGGTGTATGTCACTTAGGGATCGTTTAATACAATCATAATACATGAATTTCTAATACATAGATTTTAAAAAACAATTATCATGTGAGAGGCACATATATGACAATAGTTGTATGAGATCCTTTCACACTTTGCCAAGTGGAGAATGGCATCCACTAAAAAGGAAGAAGTTAAAAGACACCATTTCTTTATTCTTTTTCTCCAATTTCACATCTTCTTCTTCCTTTCCGTTTCTTTTTGTAATTTTATTATTTCTCAGATGAATTTATTTATTTATCAAAAGTTGAAATTTAATTAATTTTAGTAGGATTAGCTGTGATTATTTAGATAATTTATTTATTAAATTAATTAATTTAATTATTCAAATGTTGAAATCAAGTCAAATTAATTTAGTCAATTTTTTATCACTTTGATTATTTTTTTCTATTTGGTTTTGGTAGATGTTTAGAAAATATATGATAATATAAGAAATAGATCTAATTATATATAGGATCCTTCAAAAAATGTATGCATTATCTAAGAATTAAATTAATTCTAAGAAATCTGATAAATTCTTTCCAACGATTTTATTTTTCTTACAAAAAGGTAAAAATTTAGTTGGAATATACTATGTTTTGATGATGCTTGATTTAGATAAAAAATAATCAATTAAAAAGACATGAGTTATGCAAATTCATTCTTGACACCATTAAAATAAATATATAAACTAAAATACGAAGTAAATGCAAACAACTTGTTATTATAAAAAGAAACACATAAATAGAACAAAGAATTTTTTTTAGAAATAGTTATAACATTTTTTAAAATTTTAAAAAAGTTTTTATATATATATGATAGAAAAAATTATATTAAAAAATCAATGTATAATCTTTTATAAACAAACAATAAAATAAAATATATATTCTCATATTTCATATATATCATTCTATTAAATACGTTTCGGAAAACAAAATGACAAATTTTATGAAATTATACGCAAAATTTTATGATTTTTTATTTGTAATTTTATCATATTCAATTTCTTCCATTTCATTCAAAAATTAGATTACAATTTTCTTGCCATATTCACTTTATTTTTTTTCAAATATATAATATACAAATGTAAAATAGGCATGTTAGATATTTTGGGCGCTCTTTATACTTCGACAAATGAAGTAGTGTATAAAAGAGGAAAAAAGAAAGTAGAAGGACAAGTTTAAAATGAATGAAAGAGAGTAAGAAGACGAAAGAAAAGAGTTAATATATCAAATGGTCACTCAACTATGCATTCTTCTCTCAGAATGTCACTCAACTTTCAATTTTCACTCAAAAGTCACTCAACTATGCACTTCTTTCTCAAAAAGTCACTCAACTTTGAATTTTAACTCAAAAGTCACTCAACTATCCGCTCTTTCCTCAAAAAGTCACTCAATCTATTAAATTATTTTTAATTAAAATTTATTGATATTAATTATTTATATAACAAACAAAAAAATTTTAAAAAATAAATTAAATAATTTAGTGATCCACCCACCTAATCCGACCCATTAAAAAATATGATAATGACCCATTTTATTTTATCTTTAATCCTAAATTAATTCCTTCTTTAAACCTTGAATTAGGATTAAAGAGGAAATAAAATGGGTCATATCATGTTTTTAATGAGTCGGGTTACGTGGGTGGATCACTAAATGGTATTTTTATTTTTAAATTTTTTTGATTTGTTATATAAATAATTAATATCAACAAATTTTAGTTAAAAAAAACAATTTAATAGATTGAGTGACTTTTTGAGGAAAGAGTGGATAGTTGAGTGACTTTTGAGTTAAAATTCAAAGTTGAGTGACTTTCTGAGAAAAAAGTGCATAGTTGAGTGACTTTTGTGTGAAAATTGAAAGTTGAGTCACTTTCTGAGAGAAGAGTGCATAGTTGAGTGACCATATGAGGTATTAACTCCGAAAGAAAATGAAATAGATAAGGTATGGGCCCCATCTGTACATTTGGCATTCAACAAAAGCCTCGTACAACTGATAATAAGTGTGCCTCGGACATAATAAATTTTTTCATGGATTAGTAACGCAAGAATTAATAATGCAGAAATTAGTTTTTATCAAGTATTGTTTGATTCATTATTGTTTCCCATTTAATCTTATGTTTGGTTTAAAAAATTTTAAAAAAAAATTTATTATACCCTTGACTATTATTAAATTTAATATTTTATTAAATTGTCAAGTTATATACCAAAATATATTTTAAAAAATTATTATTAATTTTGGGTGAGATATGCCACCATTATTTAAAAAAAACTACTAAAAAACAACAAATAGAAAAGTGATGAACGCCGTCCCTTCAAAAAGACACATTTGTCATGTTATCCGTTACTTTTTAATAAAAATAATTATTATAAAATTATTTTACAAAAAGTGACAGACGTCATCTCTTAGGCAATCGCTTTTTTCGTGGAATTTTATATCAAATATATATAAATAATAATTATTTATTTCATATATATAGCGATGTTGTCCGTCGCTTTAATTAAAAATAATTAAATATAAATTAAAAGTAAATCACATCGTCCGTCGCTTTTATTAAAAATAATTAAATATAAATTAAAAGTAAACCACGTCGCTCGTCACTTTTAATTTATTTTATAATTATTTTTACTGTAGCGACAAACGACATCTTTATGTTTGTCGCTTCTTGATCAAAAATATATGAGCAACACTTTAAATAAGCGATGGACAGTGTTGTTTAGTCCGTCACTTTTTGGTCAAAATGTAGGTCAAACAATTTTTAAATAACCGTCGCTTTTGTTTAGTTATGTTACAGCGGTGATAGATTTTCCCCTAAATTTTCCCATTCTCTTTCTCTCTTTTCTCTCTCTCCTCTACCTTCTCGACCCATCACCGCACCATCTGTTGCTGCCGCCACCACTGTCCATTGTCGCTTCGCTACCATTATCCTCGCCCCGTCGCCAGCCAACCCAGCTGCCACCACGCCCAAAATAACTCCCCAACTTCCCCTTCTTCTTGTTATAAGGTTAGGGTTTAATTTTAATTTTTTTTTTTTGAATTCTAGTAACTATATTTTATTTCATAGTTTGTATATTGTTTTAGTTTGTTGAATTGTGTTATTCAATTGTTAATTTGTACATTTTATTATTGTTAGTTAGGGAGAAAATTGAGGGTTTGAGATTTTAGGGTTAATTTTCTTTTAAATTGGGAATTTTAGATATGACTGTAAATTAAGTATTAGAAGTTAGAACTACCAAATAATTAGAGGTTAAATTAGTTTAACATTGATAGATTTGCCATTGTAATTTTGCTTATATATTATAATGTTGTTGAAATTTTGATTAATTGAATTATATTCTTGAACTTATTAGAAATTCTAGAAATTAAATATGAACTTGAATTTTTGTAGGATTTTAGAGCTTTAATTACGTTGTAAACTTTAGAATCTTGAATTATTATAGGATTTTATAACTTTAAGTTGTGAATTTTGAAGAACTTGAATTCTTATAGAATTTTATAACTTTAGGTTGTGAAACGTTAGAGATCTTGAATATTGTTAATTTGAAGTTAAAAGTTAGTAATTGATAAAGTTTGAATGTCATTAACATATAGGATGAATGTTTGAATGTCATGAGGTTTCTAAGTCTATAGCATTTAATTTTAACAATTCTCTGACGATTGACATTAGGAACCTGTGACATCATTAAAACTTGACTATAATGATCATTCAATCCAAGAAACTGAAGCACTCTAATGTTCATTTAATTCATTATGGACGAATCAATTCTAGCTAACTGTGCACTAACCGACCAACTAATTACACTTCATAATTAGCTAACTAACTAACAAAATTAGCTCCTTCACAAGATCCTTTTTCTAACAAATTTGGAACAAACAAATTATCTTATTCATGAAGTACTTCTCCTAAAGGCATTATAAAAACTTATATTTTCCCTTTTAAGTTTTTTAATAAGTGTTAATTTTCTCTTCATGAAACTATACATAAACACAATAAGCATATTTTTTTTTCTTCAAACAATGTTAGAGCCTGTTTGGCTTGGTTGTATTTGGAAAATCCTTAAAATGTTTTTAAATGGAAACATAAATAGATTTTATGTTGTTAAGAAAAATCTTAAAATTTTTGATACTTTGAAAAACAGAAATTATTTTTTAAAATATTAAAATATCCGTTCCATATACATATTTACAAATATATTCCTTATTAATTAATTAACATATCTCATAAGTTTGATTAAGTTTCATGTCAGAATTTTTATATTTATATAATAAAGTTTTTATTTTATGTTTATGTATTGTTATTTATATTTATATATTATTTTGTGTTTTATTTTACTTAATTAGAAATAAAGGCAATAACAATATTTTTGTAGGATTAAAATATGAGGACTTTATTTGTTTATTCTTTTGGTGAATTTTTAGTATATAGTGGCTTATTTTGTGGAATGATTTTTAAATTTATGAATATGTACATTTTAATTAAAATTATTGTTACAGATATTTAATATAGTTTCCCTCTATAAAATAATAGTATTATTAAATGCACATCGATACTTACCATTTTTTGTTATTTGACTCTCAAAAATGTTGTTTTTAAAAAAAGATAAGTTAAGCACAATGTTTTTTTTTTAATCAAAAGTACTTTTCAAATAAATTAGCAAAACACACATTATTTTTTTTTCAAAAACATTTTTTTAAAAAATCCTTCTTTAAATCTCACGGGTATCTGAGCAATTCTTCCCGTTGCTTTTACAGAACTTCCTTCTTGTATCAACAAACCGTCGTCCATTAATACAACACCAACATTATTTGATTCCAAATTCAGAGCAATGTTGTAAATTTTATTACATATTTGTCTGCATGCAAAGTTGGTGTCTTAATTTAATGATCCTGAAGAAAATTATATTACAGAAGAAATTAAATATAATAAAAAATAGAAATTAATTTTTAAAATTATTCTATATTTGAAATTCTATAAAAGATTATTACTATTTGGAAAATATTTTATAACTTTTTTTCATTAATTTTGTGGTCTCATGACTCATCGTCAATATATAACGGGAAAATTACGTGGCTAAGCAAATTTATACTGTTTAATTACTCATCATAGCTATAGTTTGCTATAATTACCACTCGCGACTAACATTATACATTAATTACGTGGGCTGATTTCGAGTTGGTATAATTAGTCATGTTTGTATATGTATAATTCGGCAGGATATACAAATACATGTGTATAATATATAATTTTTCAACCTATATACATATACAAATTAACCTCTCTCCCACTCTATTCCCTCTCTTGCTCGCCTCTCTCCTCCCTCTCTTAATCTCGCTCGCCTCTCTCCTCCCTCTCTTAATCTCGCTCACCTCTCTCCTCCCTCTTCCAATCTCGTTTGTCATTTATACAAATGTATATGTATAATATACAGTTATATACAATTATATAGATATACAATTCACCTGTTTCCCACTCTCTTCCCTCTCTCGCTCGCTTCTCTCCTCCCTCTCTCAATCTCGATTGACTCTCTCCTCTCTCTCCCAATCTCACTCGCCTCTCTCCCCTCTCGCCCAATCTATCTTGTCATATATACAAATACATATGTATAACATACAATTATCTAACCAATATACATATGCAATTCACCTTTCTCCCACTCTTTTCCCCCTCTCTCTCGCCTCTCTTATCTCTCCCAGTCTCGCTCACCTCTCTCATCCATATAACATGCAACTACAAATTGTAATCATTAAACTATATCTATGGAGAGTAATTAATTATTTTTAAGTGACTATATGTGAAAGTTTCTCATATATTATTGATCATATATCATACTTGAGCAGTTGAGCCTTTTACTTAGGAAAAATTACATGGGATGACAAACTACATTAAATAATTAATTAATAATGGCATAATTTAATTTATTTACTCTAAATAATTTGTCTTGCTCTCAATTTTCGCAGGTAACCCATGAATTTATTTTTATTTTTTTTCCCTTCATCTATAATTATATATGTATTATGATTCTCAATTTTTCATTTTTTTTTAAAAAAAATATTTCTTTCACATCATATTACAAGTTGATCAAAATCAGAATGAAAGATTCATCTCAATTTCTAAGAATTACCTGTTTGAATGTTATGTATATTGTTGTTTGTACAATGAATTATTATATACAAAACTGATCAAGCTATTTTGTATTGTTATATTCATATTTTAAGTTTTTTTGTATAGTCAAGTAGTTATATATGTATATAAGTAATTACTTTTAAAAAATGATACAATTATTTGAATAATAATTTATTTTAAATCATATTTTTTTATATTTTACATTATTATATAAAAAATTACTTGAGGAATTTGTGTATATACAAGTTTATTGAAGATATACAAATTATCCCATCAAAGTTTATTGAAAAATTTATGAAAAATAAAGATCCAAATATTTGCATGGAACAATTGTGAAAAATTTCAAACAAACCCTTTTTGTAATAATAATAATGATTAAAGACATAAATTTTACTTTGACCTTGTATAGAAAATTTACTAACATGCTTAAACTATTATGATGAGCTATTACACACTTTTATTATTCAAAAATAAATTTATTTGCCTCTTAAAACTGACGTAACAAAAAACTAAAAAAAAAATAAAAACTAAAGGTGTCAGTTAGAAATAAAAATAAAAATAAAAATTAGAATCAACTTTTTACACAACCCCTCCCATCCTCCACCCTATCCATACCCACACACCAATTCTTCTTTTTAACATCTCTTCTTTCTTTTTCATATATCTTCTTCTTCATTCTTTATGCATCATAATCTCAAAGCACAACTTTTATTTTTGATTAGCAATTAGATTAATTTTCATAGATTTGTTAGTGAATAATTATATTTTGTGATAACTTTTATTAAAGGAAGAATCTAAAAGAATTTAGGATAAACCTAAATAAATAAATCCTTAAGTTATGATATAGGTGATTTAGGTCGACTGTTTCTATCTTTTCTATTTATTGATTTTGTAAAAAAAAACGCTTGTTCGTCAATTTTTAGGTTTGGTTGTAGTTGCAGCTTTATGGGGTATGGTGGTTCTAGGTAATGGGTGAAAAAAGGAAGAAATTGAAGGTGGTTAAGAAGATTAATCAATTTTTGAATTTGGTGAAGATGACAACTTTATGAGTATGGTGGCGTTGGATAACGATTTTGAAAAAAATGGAAATTAAAGATGGCGAAGAAGAAAAAAATTATATTGAAAATGGCGATGATGATATTTAGTGGTCGGTGGCGAAGAAGAAGAATTGAAGGTAATATTTCGGTGGTGAAGAACAAAGAACCAATAGTGAATAAGGTAGCCGAATATGATTTTTTTCGATAGAGTGAGTGAGATTTTGTGATGAAAAATATATAATTATTAGAGAATTTTTTAATAATTAATTATATTTGAGATAAATTAGTGTAAAATATTGTTAACAAAAGAAAAGTAATTATAAGAAAAAGGAAACAAAAAAATTAAAAGAAGTTGTAATTTCTGACATGACGTTGACATACGACTGATGTGACGGTGAGTGTATTACATGACACTCCATGAGGAGAGCGATGTTCCATGTCTTGAGGTGATATTAAATTCACTTTTGAATAATAAATGTATATAATAAGTTATTATGATAATTTAAGCGTGCAAGTAATTTTTGGATATAAGTTAGAGAAGAAATTTATATCTTTTTCCTAGTAATAATACTATTGTGTATGTAGATTATACATAGTATTGATAATACATGCCAAACACCGAACACCAAGACAATCTCTGCTAAAATAATGTAACTTCAAGTTCCCAGTAAATTTGAGGAGTATATAGGTATTTCATACTATAGCTAAAATAAATAAAGATTATCTTTAATGTAAGAGATTTGTCAAAAAAAAAAAGTAATAGAAATATTTGTAATCATTAAGTGAAACCATCAAATCAGTGCAAAATTAAACAATACTTTCTCCTTTAAAAAAATGATCTTTTTTTGGTAACATTTTAATCTCATCTTTCCATATGGCATGTTTAAGGTCACAAGATCAAAGGATAATTTTGTACATTTAACCTAACTTTAATTGAGGACCACATGATACAAAAGTCTTCTTTACACTCTTAAATTTCGTTTCAAGTTTAAACCATGTCATTCTTTTTGAAATGGAGAGAATATATAATTGAAAACCATAGACTTGCTTGTCGAAAAAGAATGGCTACATATGTTCATAGTTATTACACTATAAAAAAAGTTAAATTAGTGTTTTTTCTTAACAAAAGATTCTCCATCGATGTCCAATATCTATATTGGAGCCCGATTAAATTTGAATTTGCGTCGTAAAGCCCCATCGGGGTAACCCAAAGGGAACTGAACCTTAAACCTCTTGATTAAGAATAAAAGAATACTCACAACTCCACCAGAATCATTGCTGATAAGAATTCATGTAAAATGGTTTGTAGCTAACAAATATTTTTTAATTATTCATTAGCAATATATTGTAAAATAGAGTTAGGGACTATTATTTCGCTATAAAATTTATTCGCCAATATTATTGGTCGTTGATAATTACTTTTGCAGTGTTAGATACGAGTAGGAGTGTTTGCGATGCTCTATTTTTTTTTAGAAAACTTAAACAACTAAACTAATAATGAAAAAGGGTTTAAAATATTTTAAAGTATTAGAAAGGGAAAATTGTGGAGAATGACAAACTACGGAAGATAATTACATTAATTAAATTCCCTTTCAGTTATTTCCTTTAAAGGGCAAACTTAAAGTTAATTTGCTATACTAGGTCCCACGTTTTGTATAAAACATTTTCCCCAAAACAAAACCCTCTTTTTTCCTCTCCCGTCCATTTTATACAATTTCCTCTTCTTCCTTCAATTTCTCCACAATTTTTTCCACAATTGCAATTTGAAACTACAAACTTCTCCTAGCACGCACATCGGAGAGGTTTTTCAAAATATTTCAAAAATTTCAAAGTACCGCTTAAAATCTACTTACATTATCAGTTTTTTTTTGAATCTTTTAAAACTAATTTTTCACTTCAATTGTTAATCACTTCAGAATTTTGGTTCAATTAATGGATGTCAATCTCCATCGAAGAGATTTATAAGAGGTATACCATTGCATGTTCAAATTTATGTTGAAAATCCATCGTTTTCATTGGGTCTAACTCAGGAATTTGGGGAGATTTCAGGTTCATTGTCTAAATCTACTAACATGCAAGATATTAGTTCCAAATTCAATAATGACCCAATTAGTTTTGTTGATGGAGGTCTGAAGAATACTTTTGATGTTGTTACTGCGTCTAATAAGAAAACAAAACATAAAACTGATGTTCATTCCTTTCACAATGATAAAAATGAAGTCGTTGGTTCTGGGTCAATTGAGCATAAGGTATGTGTATAATAATTGTTCATATGATTTATTTTTATGTTGATTCATGTCTTTATACAATTATAAATGTATTAATGTATAATATATATTCGTACATGTTTTTGTGTTTCCGTAATTCGTGCCTTATACAATTTTATTTTTATAAATGTATAATATCTTAATACCTCCTTTCTTATTTATGTCTTATAATGCCTAAATTACTGCCTCATTATATAATTGTGCGTATAAATGTGTAATTTAGTCTGTCTAATTTACTACCTCATTATACAATTGTTTTAAAAATGTATAATTTATTCTGACTAATTTACTGTCTCATTATACAAATGTGTGTATAAGTGTATAATTTATAATGTCTAAATTACTGCCTCATGATACAACTGTGTGTATAAGTGTGTAATTTAGTCTGTCTAATTTATTGCCTCATTATACAATTGTTTTAAAAGTGTATAATTTATTCTGACTAATTTACTGCCTCATTATACAACTGTGTGTATAAGTGTATAATTTATAATGCCAAAATTATTGCCTCATTATATAACTGTGTGTATAAGAGTGTAATTTAGTCTGTCTAATTTACTGCCTCATTATACAATTGTTTAAAAGTGTATAATTTATTCAGCCTAATTTACTGTCTTATTATACAACTGTGTGTATAAGTGTATAATTTATAATGCCTAAATTACTGTCTCATTATATAACTGTGTGTATAAGTGTGTAATTTAGTCTGTCTAATTTACTGCCTCATTATAAAATTGTTTTAAAAGTGTATAATTTATTCTCACTAATTTACTGCCTCATTATACAACTGTGTGTATAAGTGTATAATTTACAATGCCTAAATTACTGCCTCATTATACAACTGTGTGTATAAGTGTGTAATTTAGTCTATCTAATTTACTGTCTCATTATACAATTATTTTATAAGTGTATAATTTATTCAGCCTATTTTACTGCCTCATTATACAACTGTGTGTATGAGTGTATAATTTATTTATATTTGTGTCTAATACCACTATCTTTTTTTGTAAAATGTATATGCTTTTTTTCAGGATGTTAAGTATTTAGGTCAAAGAGAACCAACAAGAATTCCGCATGCAGTGTTACACAAATATTGACGTTATGAATGTTCTATCTTCAAAGCTTACTGAGTCACATACAGACATATCTATGGAAATACATGTTTTTCTCAACTATGTAGCATTCGTAGGTGTCACGTCCAGGCACAACTAATTAAGTGCGTGTTTTTGAAAGAAATTGAAGGTAGCTCAAAAGATGCAATCCTGATACATGTCAACGGCACTACTCTGCTATTCACCATTCGCAACTTTGCTTTAATAACTGGGTTAAAATGTTCAGATAATGAGAATGATTTTGTCTTTAATACTGAAGAACCAAATATGATTATTTATCAGTATTTTGAAGTTGGAAAACCCGTCACCAAAGTCAATTGATTGACAAGTTTGATAAAAAAAAATTTAATAGATAATGATGATGATGCTGTTAAATTTGCAATATTGTTCTACATTCATTCATTCATCTTTTATGAAGAATCAACTGGTACTATAATTGATAGAAAAGATTTTGATTTAGTTGAATCAGGCAGATACATTGACTATCGTTGGAGTAAAAAGACTTTTGATATAATGATTCTGCATTTGCATACTAAGATCAAACATGATGGGAAGTATTTTAGGTTGTATGGTTTTCCACTTGCTTTGCAAGTGTGATTTTATGAATGTTGTTCGAAATTTGATGATGAAATTGCTGTTAAAGTATCTGATCACATTCCTAGGATACTCAACTGGGAGACAAATAAAGATTTTCCTTGTCTTAGCTATTTTGCTAAGGGCATATTCAAAGACGACAACAATCCGGTGCGCACTGCATAAATATATGTATAATTTTATGGTTCGTTTATACAGTTACATATTTATAGAGTTATATAAAATTATAGAACAATATATAACTGTATAAATATGTACCTGTATAAATACATGTATCAGTTTATTTCATTTAAAACTATATGTATAAATGTGCTCCTTCTATTATATTATGTTTGATATAAGTGTCTGAAAATGTATAGTTATGTATATAATTATCCTTATTGTATAAATATAGCCTTATTTGTATATATAAACTTGTAAATTGTATAATAAAACATCTAACTGTTTGGAATGTATATGTATAGACTTAATTATATAAATAAGTTTATGAATTGTATAATTACACATATATGAACATGTATATATTTTGCAACTTGTTTTCAGAATCTGACTCCAACTGAAATGAAACTCAATATTATTGAATTATCCTCTAAGTATGTTCAAACAGACAATTGCCAACAGAAACAACAGCTGCAAATGATTCAGATGATGATTTTCAGGATCCTCCAAGTCCAATAAATAATCGTGAAAAAGAAAAGGTTGATACTTATTCGTTTCCTCCTAAGAAGAAATCAAGACGCACAATCAGTCATATTCTGAATAAGTCACCACCCGGAGTCATTTCTAACCAGCGCGGTTTGAAAAAGTCTCCTCGAAATGTCAGTATTGCAAAAATAACTAAGGCACCACATCCGAAGAAGCAGACCAAAAATCTGCTAAGGTTCCAGCAATTACAGGCATTAAGAAAAATTTTGAGCTTAAAGAAAGTGTTGCTTCTGAAATTCCATCCACCAGCAAGTCACGGGATTTCAATATATCGCATGATGAGTTTGATCGATTCAAAATTTTGGTATTTATTTATTAAAATGATTTTTAAGAAAAATATATATACCGTTAATGTAAATTATACATTTCAATGTCAGATGGAGAAACAATTTACTGATTTAAGGAACTTCATTGAAATCAACTTCAAAGTTGTGTTGGATTCTATCAAAACCAAGAAAGTTTTTCTTTTCTTTTCAGGGTGATGGTGTAGATGTACGACGTGAAGTTTCAACAGTCGGTGTCGATCAGTCCGAAGAGCCTTCTCTGAATTTACCTTTTAAATTGAACTGTCAATCTTTTTTGAATGATCTAAATGATCAAGGGGTAATATACTTATTTATCTTCTTTGTCATTCAAATTTTTATCGCGCTTTGTACATACTGCATATTTTATTAATAATTTTTTGCAGAACTTTGTTCTAGTAAATGTCACATCATCTAGTCCTGAAGTTACATTTCAGCAGTCACTTGCACGCTCTCCAGCTGGTCAATCAGATTTTAGCCCTTTAGTTCAACAATTCAGCACTCCTGAGCCACATATAATTTTTTTTATGAATAACATTATCAATTTTGTAAAATATATATATACTAAACATACAGATATGATCATTATACATATACAATTTATTACCGATCTAACATATATATAATATTTTATTGTATAATGTAATAACAAAATTCAACTTGCAACAAACTTTATAATAATGTATAAATAAGTAATAGGCAGTTCCAATGTTCAAATCAATTTGGATGTTCAAAACACTTCCAATATTTATGAATTTCAAAACAGGTTTGAGGTTTGAATTCTTGAATAACAATTTTTATTTTTTTATAATCTATGTTTATATGTATATATTACTAATATTATACATTTAGACGGAGAAATGTGAAAGTTGTTCCAGTAAAAGTGGACAAAGAAAGATCCAAATTCATGGATGATCAAGCAGAATTTCACAATCCTTCATTTGTATGTTATTCTATTCGTAAATTAAAGGGGTTAAGTTCAAAATTTTGTCTATTGTTAGATAACAGCAGGAATTATTGAATGTTATATATGATCAAACTGAAAAGATGGATCAAGAAGAATTGGGAGATACAAACAAACCAGGATCATCCAACGCCGATGAATTAGTTGTTGAGGAAGATTTCATCTTTCCAAAACCTCTTCAGATTGTAGATGATGATCAAACAAAAATTAATACAGAAAGAAGCATTGTGTTACATCCTTTGTTAGCTGTGGACGAACACATACCATTACCAATTCCAAAGGAAAGGCGTCCAGGCCCATTCAACACATCGCCTTATGTGACAACATTCAGTTCAGAGTCTGGTATAACAAATTATACATTTTACATATTAACACAGTTATATTGATAAGTGTTTTACACACCTAAAAATAGTATATGTCTTTATACATTTAAGGTAACTCATCAAGGTTCCACTACATGTTTGAACTGAAACATCCATTTGTTGCAATGTCGTATGTGGATCTTAAAACTTTATATCTGCATTTCTGAAAATGGTTAAATGAAGGGCTTCTTGTCAGGCGTATCGCAAAGTAAATTACTTAGTAATTACTAATATAATTATTTAATCATATATGTGTATATTTGTATAAAATTTTCTTTTTATTTGAATTTTGATAGGATAGGTAAAGAAGAGCGATACAAAAAGAACAAGTCTCGCTTACAGATGTGGTTTAATTTTGGAATTGTAACTGTCCAAAACAAGAACTGGTTCTATAGGCTTGCATACAAATATCAATTGCTTGAGGACTCGGTAAGCTTTACACAATTCTGTTTTTTTATACAATTTACAGTTTTATTATTTATACAATTTATGGCTATGTCTTTTTACAGCACATCAATGTCATTTTGTTTCCAAGTACTCCAACTTCGACAGCAATGAATTCAGCTTTATTACTGTGAATTGCAATTTCAATAACTGATTGCAAATGTGTGGAATGCTTATTACAATTTGGATAGTACAGTCAACAAGGAGAGTACAGAGAAGTCCATTATTGAGTACATTAATGGATACAGAATTCATGTTGTTGCACCTTGGCATAGCGTTGATAACATCCTTATCCCTGTTAACATCGAGCAGATATTTCATTGGGTTCTTATCGTTGTGTCCTTTAATGAGATATATATATATCAATGATTATCTTAGGGGTGGTTCACTACACGATTCGTCAGTTTCAAATGAGATCAAGAAATATGCACAACTGATTTCCATGTATTTATCTAAGTCTGATTTTTGCAGGAAGAAAGGCATTAACATATCGTCACATCCGAAATACAAGTCGCATTCTGAAGTTGACTTTTTTGAAATTATACATGTCAATGATATAACACAACAACATGGAGGAAGCCTGTAAGTCTTATTATTACTCTTGATCAAATTTTTAATTTTAATTTTACACTGATCATACAAGCTGTTGTGTATAATTTCAGTGATTGTGGACTATATGTTGCTGCTTATGCAGACCATATCAGTAAGGGAAATTTGGTTCCAACATTTGATCCAGATTTAACCCGTATTACGCGTCTTTATTGTGGAATTATGGAGTGCAAAAAATCCAAGCTGATGCCACCAGTGACAGTGAGGCACCAGAAAGGCCAGTCAGGATCCATAGGAACGTTGAATCAATGACATGATCACAATTGATTAGAACTGCAATACTAGATTTATGTATTTTTGAATATGCAAAAGACATAACAACTTGTGAACTTCTATGTTTTTGTATTGTAATGTACTTGTTTGTTCAATTAAGTCTTTCACTTCGTTATTTTTGTTTACAATTTAATACTTATACAAACTACATTATACGATATATATTTATACACTAACTGTATAAACCTATGTGTATATTTTACTTTGTATTTTTATATACAAAATGATTATTATACAATTTTTAATAATGAGGCTATACATATTAACTGTATAAATCTCAACAGTTTATTTTACTTTCTGTATTATTATACAATTAATTGTATAAATCTTGACGGTTTATACAATTGTAAATTCATTATGAACTGTATAATTATACATTACTATTATACAATTATTTGGAAATTTTAAATTTACAAATAAGCTTATACAATTAATAGTTATACACTAACAATATAAAACTAGGATTACATTTATGTTGGATATATATATATATATATATATATATATATATATATATATATATATATATATATATACACACACACACACATACATTTCAAGGCTTACAAAATAGTTCATAAAGTATACATATATATTCAACTTAAACAACAACATATATTTATACATTAACTGTATAAAAATCGACAGTTATACAATTGTTAATTCATTATTAACTATATAAGTGTACAGTTAAATATCTTTAAAATTATACAAATTTTATAACATATAAATATACATTCAGCTTAGACAACAAATTATACAACTATGTATTTTTCAAGCTTATGAATTGTAAAATTTTTACAATTGTATATAATTGTTCAATTGAACTTATACGTAAAGTATTTCTGTATATAATGAACAATATAGACACAAACTTAATTCCTGATAATAGCATGAAGACAAAATAAAGAAAAATGATTAGCACAATTAATAAGACATACCAATTTTATTCCATATTTAAAATACTAACTCATACAGTTTAAATATAAAACTACTTCAGAATAAAATTCAATGGTATATCAAATCAAATTTTAAAGTTTAATAGAATCGTAAAAACTTATTAAACTTCTTGAGGTCTATTTCTACATGAACGCCTATTGTGACCTGCAAATCCATATGTACTACATGTATGCTTTCCTTTTAGTCCAAGCAATTCACGTTTAGTTTTTGAACGGAGTTTATTTTTAGGCCTTTTGGGAGGTCTTTTGAATTTTGGAGGTCGGACTTCATCATACATTATGGCTTCAGGTATGACCCATTCTGAAGAGGAAGGCAATGGATAGATTGGTATCTCATAAATCTTCAAAATCGTCTTTGGTTTATACAAATCTGAGCAATATCCATGGGCTACTAGACTTTTGCGCTTCAGTACAACCCAAGCATGTTCACAAGGAATTTCTTCATATTGAAACTTCTCACAGCTGCATGTTTTATTCTTTAAACAGACCATAAAACTCCTACCATCATCAGTCACATTGTATATGTATTCAGTTGACGGCACAACCTGTTTCGCACAAATAGATTCATGTATATGTATAAGTCTATACAATTTCTATCCGTGTGCATAACTCATTAATTAGTAATACAAATAAATTCATGTATATGTATAAGTCTATACAATTTCTATCCGTGTGCATAACTCATTAATTAATAATATATATACATAAAACATACCCCAATTCGTGTGTTCATTGCTTCATATTCGATTAGTAAATTTTGAGCTTTTCCAATCAACGGAGTAAATGTGCAGACTCCCTCGTGTTTGTTGTCATGATTCCATCTCCCAAATATCAGTATGACCTCTTCCAGAAAATTGAATATTGGTAATTTCCTTGAAGATACTAAGGCAACATTTATACTCTCTGCAATATTAGACGTCATAGCCCATCCCCGATGAGTTTCTGCAGGACACCTTGACTACTTATCATATCCAGCTAGCTCCAAATACTCTTTAACATCTACATCAACTTTTTTTACAGTATCCATCAGCCTGTCAAACTCAACTTTGTTGCAAGTCTTTGCCATTGTATAATACACAGGACTTAGCTCCTTGATGCCTTCCTAAATTTCTTCTCTACATTACCCCACAAGTGCCACATACAAGCATAATGTGGCACATTTCTATACACTTGAGTCACTGCCTTTATGATACTTTCATTTCTATCTGACACTACACACATATTAATCATTTCACCATAAGCCTCCCTTAGTTGTAGAAAAAATCAAAATCAAGCTGCATCATTTTCCGAATCAATAATACCATATAACAGTGGAAGAATGTGTCATGCATTTTAATTTAGACACACATTAATATTTTGATAAAAATTGAACAATAAAAAATAAATGAATCATACCTGCTCCGTCCGTTGTACTTGCAGCAACAAATGTTCCATTATACGGTCCTCTTAGGTGACTTCCATCCACAACAATTACAGACCTGCAATGTTCAAAATCTTGTATAAAACTATTCAATGCAACAAAAATATACAAGAACTCATTTTTATCTATCTTCTTTAGACGTATATGCAAGCCTGGACATGTAATATTCTTCATATACAAATATGTTGGAAACTTGCTGTAAGATGCAGCTACAGTCCCCCTCAATGAAACTAGAGCCTTTTCTCTAGCCCTCCAAGCCAACGAGTAATTTACATCAACTCCCAAATATATCTTTAAATCACTGCGAATATCAGAAGGTGTATATTTTCTCTTGTGATCAACAAGTTTGGGTTTAACGATCCCTCTAATCAGCATGCTTGTGGCATATTTTTGTGAATACACTTTATCCTTCAAAGGACAAGTATGGTCTATATTAAATGCTCTTATTCTAAACATACCAGACTTATTGACATTAAATGCTTTCATCAACCATTTACATTCATCAGAAATACACTCCAGTGTATAACTACATTAGTAAAAACAGCACAACACATTAATATACAAATACTTATACGGTTACATATTTGTATGTATAAAGCAGGTACCTGATTGCGTTTGACATCATTGTTCTATATTGAAATCTTTTTTCAATTGCATATTTTTCCATCACATATTTCAATATGTCTTTGGTCTTATACGCTTGGTCACCTCCACGAACTTATTACAAGGATCTGAAATAACTCAATCGCAGCTCCCTGACACCAAAATATGAAGCGGCTCTACCAACTCACCAATAGGCAGGCTGCCTATTATCAAATTCATCATTCTCATTGATGCTAATAGATGTTATCGTATCACTATCTTGATTTGAACTTCCACACAGTTCATTGGTACCAATTATACTAGGCAGTTTGTTAATACACAGTGGATACTTGTTGAACTCATTTCCAGACTTTTTAAGCATAATATAAACTCTAATACCTATGTCGTTGTGAATCAACATGGGTGTCTTGCCTTCTTCAATCTTATACTCAATTTTGAGTTTATTCACATTCATATCAATCCTAGTTGAATTGCAATGACATTATACAACTTATTATACGATGACCTTTCTTTAAAAATCACCCCTCAATTGTATAATCAACGTAACAATTGCCATTATCCCATCTACCAGAATGCATAACCAATATAGCCAGTGAAACCATTTTCAGAATTTCTGTATACAAAATCAAATTATATATATGTACTTATACATACTATATAAACTTCTGTTTTAAGCTTATGCACATTTTCAAATTATACAAAAAAAAAAACTCTATATACACAAAATTATAGCTTTATAGAAGTATACAATTCAATAGCAACAATAAAACAGGACATGAATATAATGGACAAATTCGTATTTAATAGACAACAGTTCCATTCAATTATACAATTTACCAAATAACACAATATATGATAGATTCGAACATACAAACAACAATCTAATACAGTTAACCACATATACATATTATGAAAATTCGAAAAACAAAATTAAGATGTAATGTATAAAACGAAAACATAATAGTTGCATAATTCAAATCAGATCTCATATATAGTTACAAATTCAAATAATTCTACGATTGGAGCAAATCTCAAATAATTGATTCCAAATTAACAACAATTTTTTCACAATTTTTTTTATAATTCAAAATAACTAATCAAATCAATTACGGACAAATATTCACATCTCAATATACATTCAACTGATTTGATGAAATTAAAAAATAAAAATTTGAATTTTAAACACCATTGTCGACAAAATAAAAAACACAATCAGAATTACCTCTTATTTCTATCTCTAAATTTTTTTTATCTTGCTTGATTGCTTAAAACCTTCAATAGCTTGATCAATTTTTTGAATTGCCTACAATGGAGCTACTTCTATCGAAGGAGAAGAAGGTAGACTAAAACTGAAGTTGATTTCGCGTGAATTGTGGGATATTTTTCTTAATTATCTGCCGCGTTTTCTTTTTTCTTTTTAAATTGGAAATGTATAAATGGATCATTTATACAGAAAAGAAGACCCGTAGCAAACTAAAAGTTTGCTACGGAACACAATTTTGTATTGTTTGCTAAAATATAAAATTATCAATTTTTTCTTTGCTATATATAAATTTTGCCCTATTAGAAATGATACAAAACTATCTTCCATCTACTTAGTTTCTCCTAAATATCATTCTCAACTATCTATTAGCTCCAAAATACCATTCTCAACTATCTATTGGCTCCAACATACCCTTGTAATCTACCTTTGGGTTTAAAATTAACCATTTATTTAACAATTTTAAATTTAAACTATTTAAATATTTTTTAAAATACGTGACACTCAACTATTTGTTATAATTTAACTTATTAATATTATTTATAAGCAAATTCACTATTCACACATTACTAATTAAACTTCACCAATTAATAAATCCGCCCCATTCCTAATGCAACAACAAGAAAACTATTGCCAATGAGTGTCTCTAAAAATTGAGGCGAAAATATTTATAGAAGTAAATTATCATATATACATTGAAGTTCTCATATAAAACATATTATAATTTAACTGTCTAAATAAAAATTACCGATAAACTTAAAAGTCTAACTATGTTTATTTTAATTATTCCTTCGTCTCAATTATGTAATGTTACTTAATAGATAACTTTTTTCAAAAAAAATATTATATTAAAATTTTAATATTTAAATAATAAATATTTATAAAATTATATTTTAAAAAAGTACATGAATTATTCAGGATGTACAACTTCTTTACATCTATTCATAAATTCAAATTTAAGCTTGAAAGTAACCTTCTAAATAGGCGACTCAACGTGAATTTAATTAACGCTTCCATTCGGGTAATTTGATATCATTTTCAGGAATTCGTCATGTTTTAGTAGTATTTTTAGCACAATTTTTATATTAAAATTGATTTATTAATTGGGTGGATAATGGTTTGTTCATAAATGATATTAATAAATTAAATCATAACTAATAGTTGAGCGCCAAATATTTTAAAAATATTTAAATAGTTTAAATTTAAAACTGTTAAATAAGTGATCAATAGATGAATGAGAAAAATATTTTGGAGCCAATGGGTGGATGAATGTTATTTTTGTACCATTTCCAATATTTCGAAGTTGTTTTAGGCCTTTTTCCAAACTAAAAAATTTAAAATACCTTTAATCGTGTAAATACCCATAGCTATGAGGAATTCCAAAACTTAAATACCTATAGCTCATTCATATCTTTGTAAAATGCTTCAAGAAGAATCTGTGCCACTCCAAAATCAATCAGTAACTATGTTGTTATAACCACACACAATTAAAAGTGGTCACTGATAAAACAAGAAAGCTTTATTCAACAAAAGAAAATGCAAACCATAAACATTTAATACTCTAAAACACCTTCCAACAAGAAAAAGAAAGGCATCATTGAATATTGCACACCCTCTTGCTATGGAAAAAAACAAGAAGTCAGGCAAACAGATATGAATCCATTAGGCATGCTAGCTAAGCAAAACGGAAACTGAACAAAGCACTCACAACAATAGTTCTACGGATAAAGTTTTTACGATTACACACCCCTCTTCTAACAACTTAAGTTCCACGAATAACAAAATCATACACCTAGAGAAGAACACAATATAATGAAACCAGAAAACTCCCAAAAGAGAATTCAAACATATCTATCTCAATCTTGTGGCAAATCCATCTTCAAATCACATTAGAATGAACTTTTAATGAGTAGGATGGCTCTAAAGAGCCTTATTCAATTCATCAATCCACCTAAATCACAATCACATCAATCACCAACAACTTAATCCCTAATTAGTTATGGCTGCTTTTAAGTCCTCTGCATTTCATTCTATTCTGATCCTTTAGTACAGTATTCGTAAATCATCACTCACATATGAATCCAAATCTTCATGTATAGATAGATACACGATTCACGACCTGCATTTCTTTGTGAAAAAATTGGCTGAATCATATTCACAAGTACATGAAAAACATAAAAAAACAAATGAATAAATGGATCGAAATTCTGAATTAATATTCCTTTTCTGAACAAAACTATGCATTCCTTTTCAACTAGTTTTACTCATTGAACAGAGCTGGTTGCACACAGTTGGTGCCTAATGAGATAGATTTGATTGACCAGACTACTAGCGCTTATGAGCCTGAAGGCCATCTTTACCTTAAAGCTGCTTAAGATTGTTAAACTTCACTATTCGACTTGATGCGCTGAGAGCAATGAAAAAGGATTTTCGGGGTAATGGAGACCAGGAAAGAGTGCAATAGTTAGGGGTCAGGTCTATTCTACGTGAACCTGAATTAGTCAGACGAACAGGCGGGGCGAGAGAGATTTCATTGAAGAGAAGTTATGGATATCATATGGAGAATAGCTATTAGAAATTTCAAGATTTTAACAGTTGTAAATTGCCACAGCTCATTGATATCGTTATAAAATGCACCAAGAGAAATCTGTGCCAATCCAAGATCAATTAGAACCATGTTATAACTACAAACAATTACTAGTGCTCTCTGCATTTTGGTGATACCTAAAACAAGAAAACCCCTGCAAAGCCTTATTGAACAAGCAAATGGAAACCATAATCATGTTATACTCTAACCATGTGCTATTCAATCACCTTCCACTAAGAAAAGGAAAGTGATTTACTAGGCATGCAAGTTTAGCACAGAAAACTGAACAATGCACCCACACCCACAGAATACTTCTATGGATAGAGCTTTCCAGATTACACAATCCTTCTGCTAAAAACTTACTTGAAGTAAGTTCCAGGAATAACAAAACCATACCAACTAGAAAAACACAATATCATGAAACCAGAAAGCTACCCAAAAAACAAGAGAAGGGTGCAAACTTATCTATCACAATCTTGTGGCAGATCCATCTTCAAATCACATCAGGATGATGAACTTTGAAGGAGTAGGAGGACTACTCTGGGAAGTCGGATTATGATGGCTGTACTGGGCCTTATTCAATTCATCAATCCACCTAAATCAAAATCAATTCGTACACAATCACATCAATCAACTGCGACTTAATCCCAAATTAGTTATGACCAGCTTTTTAAGTCCTCTCTGTTCTGGTTCTCAAGTACAGTATTCATAACTCATCACACTTACATATGAACCAAAGCTTCATGATTCAGGACCTGCATTTCTTTGAGAAAAAAATGGCTAACATATTCACAAGCACATAAAAGCTAAATTAATAAACATAGCTAAAATGGATCGACATTCCGAATTAATAATCCTTTTCTGAACAAAAACTATGCATTACTGATTGGACAAAACAAAATTCACATGTAAACGTTCAAAATTCCCTTAATTGGAAGCTTCTTTTATCATATTCCTAAAGTCAAATTTAGCCATCTAAAACGGAAACAGAGCCAGCAAAAGATGGTGAAATGAAAAACCGAAAATGAAAACAACAAACAGACTAAATTTTCCTGTACGACGTGTGTTCCGAAATCAAAGATCCAAACACGAATAATCAGGCTCCAGAGCCAGAGCCAGAGCCAGATCGGTAGCGGTAGAATTTGCCGAGGACATGGAGAGTAGTAACGAATCCGATGAAGCATAGGCTCATCACAAGGACGACAGTCGGGCTAATTTTCAGACCTGGAGAATCATCGGTATAGAAACGGAGCATGTTGCTAGCGTTGCCGGAGCCTACTACAGGGTTACCACCACCACCGCCAGCGGTAGAGGATGAAGCACCGAGCCTGCGTCGGCGCATACCAGCTGTAGCGGCGGCGGAGCCACGGGGTGCGGCGGTACCCGGACGGGTTGTAGAGGAGGATGTGGATTGGGAAGAAGAGCCTCGTGCCATTATTGGTTATGCGGAGAAAGTGTTGAAGAGTGTGATTATTATGATGAAAAATTTGAGGAAAATGAGAGAGAGGGTGAAAGTGTAATTAAATAGAAAGTTAGGGGCAATAAAGATGAGGTGTTAGTATTGATTAGTTAGGCGGGTGGTTACGTGGATAAACATGAGTGCATACTGTACACCGAAATAAAATACTTCGGGTGGTTTGTAGACTCCATAAAATATGTCTGATTTAGAAATACTTGACAAGTGTTAGTAAGATCATATAAAAATTTGTATCTTGTTATAAAATATTGTTAGTAAGATCATATAAGAATTTATATCTTCATTATTTTCATTTATTATAAAGATAATCATAACTTTTACGATCTCGAAATTTATAATCATTTCATAACATCTTTCATTATATTCATATTAATATCATGTTTATGATTAATCTTTTGTATGTCTCTATTTTACATTATAAATAGAGGCACAAGGATTTATATTGTATACGCTTGAAGGTTTGGTGAATACTTGAATAAGAAAAACTCTCATATCTTGTCTACCTGTTTTTGTTGCTATCATCTTGTCTTTTTTTACTTTAATTTTATAACACGTTATTAGCACGAATAGCTCATTTTTTGATTTTTATGAATTATCCTATAATTCTTCGATTGCAAGGTGTACTTCATATCTTATACATTAGGTGAAATGGTCTGCTGGACCCTTATACTTGTATCAGTTTGTATTATGAACCCTTCTACTAATCTATTTATCATTTGAATCCTTAAACTTAATAAAACACAATATATCGGACCCTTCTGACCATTGACCACGCTTATGTGGCTTTAAAATGGCTGAGTTGGCGAAAGTGTGTGATTTCACACTCCTTAAGGCGAGTGAATGACATTTTTGAGTTAAAAAAATTAAAATTATATATTAAATAATTTATTTTTTAAAAAAACAATTAATTAAAAATTCTTTCTTCTTCACTAAATATCCCATCTTTTTCACCATTTTCATCCAAAATCTATGAAAAATCCATCACCACTGTCGTCACCATTTTTGCTGGCGAAATTTATAAACTCTCTCCCTTACCTGTCTACATCTCCACCGCACACCATCACCATTTTCCTTTCCTTCTCCAACCTCCACAAAATCAACAATCTAAGTTATCCCATCACTAGATCTGACCGAAAAACCTCTTCACTGCCATCACTTCGCACCTTCACCACCTCGTTATTCTCTACATTGACCGGTGCTGCCTCTCTCCCACCTTACTCCACTGTGAAAAAGTGGTCTCCGGCGATTGCGATTTAGTGCTCTGATTTATTGTGATTTAGTACTCCAATTTGGTAAGTTGATGTTAATAGATTCTGAAGAAGAAAAACAAAAGGTTGTGTTTGGGATTAAAATGGCTGAAAATGATTATGAAGAAGGGAAAAAAAAGTTGGTTTGGCATGAAATTTCTCCAAGGATTTTGGCAGTGAATTGGGATATTGAATGTATGGAGGTTTCATATTTTTCCATTATAGCTCACCAAGATCTTCACCACTTTTTCTATCATTAAACAAACATATCAATAGATCAAACAAAACACAAAAAAACATATGAAAATGCAAAACATGAAATTGAAGTAATGAAGTTGAAGAAAAAGTTGAATAAAAAATGGTGAAATAATACTCTAAAAAATAAATCAAGATTTTATTATTTTATTTTTTATTAATTAATTTTGGTTAATAATTTTTAAAAATATTTATGAAATAACATTAATATATCTGACGTGGATATGCCATGTCATTTATGTGAAGGAGAGTGAGCTAGACACATGGTCAGAGGGATTTAAAAATCTCATTTTAGTTAGGTTCAGGGGTCCAGATGACAAAAGGCTAAGTAAAAGTATCCAGAATACAAACTGATACAAGTATAAGGGTCCACCAGACCATTCTGCCTATATATTATTTGTACTGACAAAGCTTGTTTTGTGGTTATATTAAAATGGTTAGTAAAGTATGATAATCTTCATAACAACTATTAAAATGTTTTAATTTATTTTAACTTGAGACTTATATGGTTCCAACATATAATTATTCAATTTTAAGTCAGATTCAGATTATATTTATTATATTCAATTTTTATTTTTTTGGTAATGTGTTTGGTTTATTAAGATATTGATTGAGGGCAAGACGGTGAATTCAGGTTTCACCACACAAAGTAGATAAGATATCGAGTTAAAGTCTCGGTTCACCATGATAATAAGAAGTCAGGTTCAAGTCACATTGATTTATGACCAAAGATGTTTTTATATGGATAAGACACTGGGTTTAAGCCCTAACACTATAGTGATGATATAATGATGACTAACATAAAATTTATATTTTTTATTGAAAGTCATGAAATTTGCCCAATTAATTTGCTCCATTCTCTTATGTGGATGTGGTAGCAGTACATAATATGTCTAAAACATGACAAATGATTGAATATATAAATATGGGAGTGGTAAAATGTGAATGATCATCATTATGATAATTAAAAGGAAGAACATTATGAGTTCTTAAAATAGTTCTTCAAATGCGAAGGTAATTTTGTCAATCAAAGTGGTATGAGAAGTTATTGGGCACATTGTTGTTGGTGCAACCCAAAATTGAAAAGTTTTATAAGTCACCCATCAAATAAAGGAATATGAAGTGGCAGTACATTTGATACATTTGACCTCTTAAAGTGCTTTGAGGCGAGTCACATAAATTTGATAAATACGAAAACATGACAATGAGTTTCTAATAAAAAATTATGGAGCGTGTCAAATAGTTATGATCCATTTCTTCAAGAAAATGTGACTTGTGTTCTTATGGATAAGAACATGTTCATGTATTGTTGGATAAATGTCACATCTCACCTCTACGAGATGTTTGAGATACTGAAGATAAATTTTGACATGATTTCATAGATGCATCTATGGTACGGTCACATGTGCATTTGTATCAATTTACAAATTGATTTTTGTAATGTTGTTTGCTTAAATTGTTAAATTAAGAGCATATTTCCAAACTATAAAATTATTGTGATAATACTAATTGATTTAACAGAAATTGTTTGTCTTTAATTATAGGTAGACATTGATTATGAGAACAAATCTCTCAAATAAAATGTTGTATGAGATGAACTTATTTAACATGTATGCATCAAGCCAACAAGGTTCTCTCATTACAATTGGTTTAGGGTCAGGAACCAAATAATTTCCATCTAAAAATTTGTTGTGTGCACATAGAATTTTATTGCTCCATCACGCACAAAGATGGATTCCCAAATAAGGTTGGGGGTAAATGTTAAATTTCCTAATATTAGGGGAGATGTGTTTAGCAGTTGAAAATTATGTGTGAGGTGAATTATCAAGATCTTCATTAAAAAAATGTGAACTTGAAGTTCAAGATAGATAATTCATTTGCAAAATGTTACAATAAATTTGCTAGATGTATTTGTTGACCCAATATTTAAATTAAGCTGCAAATGCTTCAATAAATAGTCCTTGAAGGACAAATTCTATGGTACGTCATAAGTGTGATAGACAAATCGATTTCAAAAGTAAAATTCCTTGACGAAGGAGAGGAGAAAAGTATCAAAATGGTCATGATAATGAGGTAAGTTCCTTAAAAGAGCATTATGACATAACAATTCATAAAATCTTGTCAAAGATTCATGTACCTGAAAATGATTATAAATGAAAAGATCTAGATATATTATGTCGAATTGAAATCGAATTAAAATGATTGTTGACGGTATCTTTGATGTAAAGTATCACTCAATGCTATAAGTGGTTACGAGAATCATAAATTTGAATCTGTCATATAATGTGGACAGATAAATGATTAGCCAAATAAAATGCACTATTCAAGTATATTTTGTTTCACTTAGAAAAGTAATGTTTTTGAACTTATAGTTCGTAGATCAAAGTATATGTCAGTGGGGCACAAATGATCATTGTGCGAAAGTATAATCGTAAAATATAGAATACAATTTTTGACTTGTGACATAAAGGATTTTCGTAGAAGTCCTGACATTTTTAAATAGAGATATTTTCTCCATTGATAGATGCAATGAGACTTATTTTAGTGATGAAATACTTGAGTATGTATAATCACTACTTATCTTGTCTATCTAAACCATGAAGATTATATAAATTTTTTTGAAGGATTTAACAGGTCGTAAAACGATTCCATTAAGTACCTAATGATTCTGAGATTGCTTAACACAAAGAAAAAATCTTTTCAACTTTATGAAAATGATTAAAAATGTCACGTATTAGTAATTGGTGCGCTTATAAATTGTTAGTTATGCAAATATTTTATATACATAACAAATTTTATGTGAAAGGATTATCATATTATCATTCAAGTTATGATAAGAAACTAACAAAGCAAGTGACTCAACACAAAGAAGATGTGTGATTTTCTTTTGGATAAAGGACGAGCTTCAATGAAATTGAAATGATCAATCTTCGAGTCAAAACTGATTTGATTATGTAGGTGCGTAATATTTATTTGATCCCCATAAAGCTCGATCGCAAATGGACTATTTATTTCCATATGAAGGCACAACAATATCTTGACGTTATCAAACATCGGTAACCACTTCTTCAAATCATGCAGAAATAATATTGATCTAGTCAGCTGGGAGTGTGTTTGGTTGGAATTATGATCTATCATATTCAAAAAATATGTGATTTTCCTTTGACAAAGAATATTCCAGCCACCATATACAAAAATATATTGAAGGGAGGATACAATCAAAGAGCTCGGACAAAACATATTTAACCAAAAGTCCTTTTCGCACATGATCTTCAACAAAATGGTGAGATAGACATTCAATGGCCCATTGAAGTGATAATCTTGTAAATTTAAAGATTGTCAATATTAATATTTGAGAAATTGTGATACAAGATTGGAATGCATTATTTTTGAGATATCAAGTAAAGTTTTTATCAGGGGGAGAAAATAGTGCATTGTACTCTTCTCCTTAACCATGGTTTTATTTCAATTGGTTTTTTCTAGTAAGGTTTTTAATGAGGCAACATTTAAA